ACATATATATATATATGTTTTTTAATAAAAAACAAAAATACTAAAGAACCCTGTATTATTTACCTAACCTGTTCTTTCCTATTTTCCTACATACCTGCACACACACACACACACACACACACACACACACACACACACACACACATATATATATATATATATATATATATATATATATATATATATATATATATATATATATTGTGTATGGAAGTTTAGATTTAGTTATAAGTAATTAAGTGCTTCCCTTCTTCACAAGCTGAATTGGTATTCTGTCACCGGCAGGATTTTTTTATTTAATCACAGCTATCGTGACAAATCTTGAGTAGCAAATCAAATTTAACCCCAACTCTTCTAGATCATTTTATACCCTTTGACCGGAGTTGTTTCTTATCTTTATCAATAATCTTGCCGATCTCATCAGTTCCCAGCTCAGTATTTATACTGAAGACACAACTATTCAATTCTCTCTTAATAGCAAGTCCCATAGGTCCAACAATGTAAAACTGGCAGCTGATCTCGAAAATGATCTCTAATCATTGAGAAAGAAATGACTTCTAAAACGAAACTGCAATGTTCATCTAACTTAGAGAAATATTTTTGCCTTCCATCAGCATGGCTGATGCTAACCTCCAGGAGAGCAACTAATGGAACCTTCTTGGTTCCCGTTTTCCACTGATATGAAGTGGAATTATTTTATTGAATCGATTGCTGGGGGTGTTACTAGAGAGGTTAGCTCAATGTATCGTGCAAGAAAATTTATCTCGCCTAAATAAATCTTACATGTTTGCTAAATAATAGCTTAGCAGACTATTATTTTTAGAAGAATTTTATCTCAGTTACCAATTCAGGGGGTAACATTCGAGGACAGATGCAAGCCAAAATAAGTTGGTTTATTTTGATTGGCTGATCTAGCGTAGGAATGATAGATTTAAAATGTTTTCACCCATAAAGCAATATTTACGGATTTTCAGATAGTCTTAGTATCCCTTGCTTTCTTGAAGCTTCGTCTTTCCTTAAAATCGGAACGCCACAAGTTAAAGTGTTTAACTAGTTGAATGAGCGCGAAATATAATAAATCTATGTTAGATTGATAAACGTTTCCTATTTGTTCATTATCTTATTATTCTGTCAGATTCCGTACAATATTTAATCCCAATTTATACACGCACAAATATATATATACGCACAAACACTCATACATATATGCATATACACATATATTCACACAGATCATACATACATATATACGCACGTATTTACGCATATACGTTCCAGTTAGAGAAACCATTGACATTATTATTAAAAATATATATATAATTCATCTCTACCCCCATTACAATTTAAGCCTAAAATATTAAGAAAATTACTTTTAACCTGTACCACTGAAGTCCCATTTTGTGATCCCAGAAATAACGTATATGTGCAATGTGATGGTGTTTCAATGGGTTAACCTTTGAGCCCAACCTTCAGTAACTTCTATCTAGAAAATAATATATTTAGTACCACCAAGAAACCCTCCATCTACCTAAGATATATAGATGATATACTTATTTCGTTAAAAACCAAGAAGAAATAATGGAACTCAAAAAATCTTTTAAAAAATCCGTCTTCAAGTTCCCATAAGAATTTAACAAATATAACAAAATCCCTTTCCTTGACATTTTTAATGCACTTAAATAACAACACATTTACTACCTCTCCGCATAAAAAAACAACCAGCAAAAACTCTTGCACTCTTAACTATAACAGCGAATGTCCAAATTACTACAAAATAGCACTTATATAGAATTTAGTTAACCGAGCACAAATTAATTCCTCCACAAAAAAAAGATTTTCTACAATGAGCTAAAAATATTAAGTAGACTCTCATTAATAATGACTTCCCAAAACACATTGTAGATGAACAAATAAGAGACGATATATATATATATATATATATATATATATATATATATATATATATATAAAACCTCAACACTCGTCAAATAGAATATAGTACTTCCTCAAAGGAGACTAAATTTATCAAACTATTATATTGTAATCAGATGCATGCTAACTACAAACAGGATGAAAAATTATAAAGAACCTTATTTATAGTAACATATATTTTCTATGAATTCTAATAAAAAATAAAATTAATCATATATTATAAAAAATACAATGCAGCCAACCTAATTATTCGCAATAACCCCTCCCCAATAACTGTTGTATTACGTAGACCCAATATTATATACCAATTTAAATTTCGCTTGGGAGAATATATCTCTGACAAAAAGAAAACAAATATATATGTTGGGTATACGACAAATGCACTAACAAGAAGGTTTTCATTACACATGTCTGACTATTCGTCTATTCCGAGACATCTACAACAACATTCCTGTCCGCATTCACAATATAAAAAATTACTAATCGACAACACAACTCCCTTACACCATGAAAACCACAAAATTAGATTACAGATACTAGAAGCAATTTATGTTAAGAAATTAAAGACGACACTGGACAGAATCAACTATGAATACTGCAGTATTGTTCTGAAATGCCTGTAAAGAAACAGTTTTTCATGCTTTAATACGCGCATGACCATGGCATTATAACCTAGAGAGAAAAATATCCATAATGGATAATTTTTTCACGTTCTAATGTCAACCGTTTTGCATTTAAAACATAATGAAAAAGTACGGTAATTTATAACAACGCACAACTTTGTATAAATACATATATTAATGAAGAGAATATAGTTTTGTATTACTTGCACGCCTTAACATGATCTTGGAAAAAGATCGAAAGTATTTGGGAAATGAAAATAAAAGAAATTTAAACAGCTATAGCACATTTCTGTCATCCTTCAACATTAATACACGAAATGTTATTCGTGAGTATGAACGGATTTTGTTAAAAATTAGCAGATATAATGTCTGTAATTTATTCAATAAGACATATATATATATATATATATATATATATATATATATATATATATAGTCTTAAGATATGCTATATTTATGGGATAAAGTGATCAATATCAGAGATAGAGCGTGTGTAAATATAAAAAGTGAACATAGACGTCAACACTGAAGGCGACAGTCTGTTTCATGCTAGATGCAATCATCAGGCCTGAGGATTGCATCTAGCATGAAACAGACTGTCGCCCTTAGTGTTGACTTCTATGTTCACTTATATATATATATATATATATATATATAACATACGTAACAGTTCGTTCACTAGCTCAGTCACTAAATCTACTTTCAAAATCTACCACAACATTGACTTTAGAAGTAATAACTTACTTTACTTATTAGAATGCATCGTATGCCAGAAGCAATATGTGGAAAAATCTGAATATCCTTTCACTGAAGAATTAATAATTATCGGAATCGGCCCGAGTCGGCTCCTCATGAAAGTTTATTATCTGTAGAACAACATTTCCGCCGAGAAAAACATGATTTAAAAGGCATGCAAAATTCGCTTTAATTGAAAAAATAGACAGAAAAGATAATATTAGAAAAATTCTAGAGGAACATGAAGATAAAACGATTCTGCGCCTCAAAACACTCCATCCAGACAGGCTTAACCCCAAATTTAACAACCCAGATAGAATTAATAGATAACCTCATAAATCAAGCCTCACTCACATTTCTCACCCGCACAAGTCAGACATACTTGCAGAGGTGTTGAGGTTTCAAATTTATACACACAATTATACAAATATATGCACATACACACATCACACTCACTCCCAAAGACCTAAAAGATAACATACACTTAACGCACACATCCCATTCCCAGTAAGCAATAAAACTGCCAAAATGAACAAGGGGGAAATTCTGAAAGTCCGGAATTTCCCATTCCTCTAATTTAAAAACAACTTGAAACAGGCCGTTTGATAATTGCAAATAAATTTCGCTTTCTTCAGAAACAGCCTATCACTCCTGTAGTTCACTGCTTCTAACAAGCAGGTTTTTTTTTTCTCATGAGGATCGCCATGCTAGCCGGAACTATTCGAGGAACCAAACTGAAATAATAAAACAAGAAATATTAATATACATATATATAAAATGTTAATTTTTTAATATTTTTATTATTCAACACACACACACACACACACACACACACACACACACACATATATATATATATATATATATATATATATATATGATAGTCTATCATAAGGAAGATAGCAGTAAAGACAGAAACATTAAGAAATACGTTGTGGGATGAATAATATACAGAATGAGAAAAGCAAAGAAAGACGTGTTTGTTCTTTTAAAATTGTTTTCTAAATCTTTACAAAACAGAGCAACCAATATTTGGAAGTCACTTTTCTAAACCTCGCCGAGTGCAAAACTGATTTAATGGCGACGCGCGAATGGCTAACGTCGAGTAAAAATAGTTATTTTTTTTTTGTTTTTTAACGTAGAAAACAGGAGAGAATCCGTTCTTTTTTTAAATTCGTTTTCCACCTCTCTTTCTCGCTTGAGTTTTTTATTTAATATTTTATTTTTGGTTGTTTTTATTCATTTTTTTTTTTTTTTAAGAATTGGTTCCGAGTTTTTTGTAAGTGTTTTTACCTGTGTTTTTTTCATCTTCTTACTTCCGTTTCCTTGTTTAAGAATTTCGACTCGTACGTCTATTTTGCTTTGCTGGGTCTCGGGAAATGACTTGGGATTTTTTTTTTTTTTTTTTCAAAGCTGAACGGATATCATCACCGAAATATTTTTAATGTATATTGAAAGATGTTTCCTTTGGGGGAAATCAGTTTTTAGTTTTAGTTATTTTCTGAATATTTTGAATATCGTTGTGATATTTTAATCCTTCATTTTCCTTGTTTCTTTTTTTCTTGTTTAATAATATTTTTGTTGCATTTATAAGTTTTTCTTTCTTTTGTTTTTAACATTTCACCTTTTTCCCTTTTTTTTATTCGTTTCCTTTTTGCTTTCATTCATATTTGTTTATTAATTTTTGTACATTTTTCATATGTTTCTTTAATGTTTCTAATTTTTCTTTTTACGTTTTCTTTTATTCGTCTCTTTGTCTTTGTGAAATTTCATTCTTTTTTTCATTGCCTCTTCCATACTTGTCATTTTTCTTCATTTTTTGTTTTATTTCAGCGTTCATTACATTATTTCTTTATCTCTGTCTTTCTGTCTTTCTTTCTTTTCCGTTCTTTTTCATTCACTGATCACATATCTTCATTAACATTTACTTTGCTTTTCCTTCGTTCATCATCTTTTCTCCTTCTTTTTCCATTAATTTCTTTTTTCCATCTTATATTTTTTTATACATTCATATTTTTTTCTTTCCTCCGTAACAAATTGACTTTAGAAACGTTATACCGGAACGTACCTATTCTATTGTAAATAGACTCTCCCACAGATAATAAGTAGTAGTAGTAGCAGTCGCCAGTGGAGCTCAGTGAGTTGTGTGAGTCAGTCGATGTCGGACATTAAAGTATGAGCCCCACAACTAGATTGCTGCGTCATTAAATATTATTGCAAGTTCCTAACGTTTTGTACGTCGAACCTAATTTAGGACCGACTTAGTGAAATACAAGCCTCCACTGTGAAAATTACTTTACAACACGAAAAACGCCACAATTCTAAAAATCTACCAAAATTTAAATTATTAGTTCTTTAATTAATTATTTGGTTTTAATAATTTATTAATTGATTATTTGTTTTCAGTAGGAACCTTCAATACTTATTAAATAATGAAGAGTATTTTCAAAAGCAATTTCCATTCCAAATGTTTTTTTATGAACAAATGAAAATTGAATTAGACAAAAATAGTGAAGGAAGAAAACTCGAGACGACCAGTGCCCAAAAAATGAGTGTTTGAGAGAATCATGATGATCTGTGACATGGCAGAAGATAACATCAAATTATGTCCACCATTTTTTTTTAATTGCGTTCACCCTAAGCAAGGCAGTAAAGCCACAGATACGACAGGGGTTACTGTCTGTGGACGAATTAGAAACGGAAACATTGCGAGAACAGTGGCAGAGTAATCAGTAGAACAGAAGATAGCGATTGACATTGCATTTACATTTTTGAAGATTAAATTTGATTAGAAAGCATGGAGCTGGAAGGGATTTCCACAGGCGAGAATTACGAGAAAAGAAACTGTTAGCATAGAACTTACGTTTACATCGAGCTAGCTTAACTGTAAATTGATGAGACCTTCTTGCCGGTTTAACACTGCGTTTAAATTCGAAGAGTCTAAGCAGAGCGATATTTATTCTGAGTATATACAGAAATGTGGCAAAAGGCCAAAAATGGGGGAATGGGAGAAAAGGACGGCCTTCTTCTGTCTTAACGTTAAACTTAGCTAGCCACAAACACTGACCCAAACATACCACAATATTTCCTTACACCAAAACAACGCATTTTTACTTAACATTTTTACTTCATCCACTATAATGCCTCAGAAATTCCATGAAGTCTTAAATAATTTCCATATGTACAATTCATTTTCTGTAGGGAAAATGAAACAACAATTTAAAAACAAGCTCCAATGTGTATTTAAAATATGAAAAGAAAAACTATTTAGAAGAAACTAATCAAAATTGTTGTGACCAAGTTTTTTTTTTGTTTTTTTTAAAGCCCCAAGCAAGGCGTGAAGCCACTAGAATGCAGGGGATGCGGAAGATTTGGAGCGAGAGCAGATAAGAGTGATAGAAGAAAGGATGAGGAGAAGGATAGTGGGTAGATCAAGGTAACTGGAGATGTCGATTGACATTACATTTAAATAGTTGGGGAGGGTGTTCCACTGGCGAGAGGTACGAGGTATAAAGCTATTGGAGTAGAATAGACGGCTACATTTGAAAGTTTCTACGGTGTAAGTGTGGGAGCGGAATGCCAGCCTCGTAGGGCGCTTGAATTCATGGAGTCTGGGAACCAGTGAAAGCAGCTCATCGGAGCAATTACCATGAAAGTATTTGTAGAAAAGACAGAGAGAGGCGACGGCGCGTCTGTGAGAGAGTGACTGTAGACGAGACGCTAGATCAGGGCCAATTAAATGGTTAAAGAAATAACAAAACAACTGTTGCAGATATATCGTATATTAAACAGTAAGTATAACAGAAGAGTATTACACGACTAGTGAGTGTAGGTCGGTTGACCCAGCGTTCAATTTATTCGACTTTTATATTTAACAGTCCCCCCACAAGGAATGTATATGACACAAGGTCGAGTTTAACGTGGGTTTCTCCGAGCCCGTAGGCTTGGCCAACAATATTCCATTAGAACCTGCCTAAACGGGTTCAGGGCCTGTCTACCTCCCCGCATGAAACTTTTCCCTGCGGAAAAGCTTCGTCCAAGTTCCTCTCTGCCGAGGAAGAGAGTTGGACAGATGAACAATCTATTTGACTGTTCCCCCAAGGCCTTCTCTCCTACTAATCTTATAGTAGGCAGTGTTGACCATGTTCACCATAGTCTATGAATATAGAATATAGCGCAGTACGTAATCTGTTCAATGAAACAACGTTAAAGATTAATACTCTCGAGTCAGATATTTTACTGAATCTGACTATATCGCCAATACCACCAGCAGCTATTCCGCAATTCTTCAGTCTTCGATATCGAAGGCTGGCAGTGCATATTCGGGAAAAACATGGCCGCCTTTATACACGTCGAATTGAATATTTTGAGCCTTCTGATTGGTTAACCCTTCTATTGGTGAACTATCAAATTTTGGCTCATTCTAGTGATCCAGCACATTTTGGCTGGCTCACTAGTACACCAGGGTACCCAAAAATTCCAACAGGCAGAAGTGTCCAACATAGACTCTTTAGAGAGAGGAGACCACAACATAAATAATGTTTGTAATAACCCCCTCAACAATCAATAAATGTGGCACAAACACCAGTTAACTGGACGAAATCAATGCGGAACATTAATAATATAAAACATTCATTCATACCTACATAGTCTATGTAGAACTCACATGAAGATTTACCATGAAAGTTTTTACAGAAAAGGCAAAGTGAGGCAACCTTATGGCGGTGGGAAAGTGACTAATGACACGTCGCTACTTTTGTGGTGTCAAAGAACATTTATTAGAGAGCAGACACGCATCGACGCTGCAAACAAGGCGAGTCTCTTGGATCGGGGCGACATCTACTTGAACGACAAGAGGTCACGAAGCAGACAGGCAGCCTTATCTCGATTTCTCAAGCCCTTCTCATCCAGGCTGGTTATCTTGATTGACATCTTTTAAGCCTGAAATTAGAAAAAATAATAACCTACTCACATATCGGGCGAAAATTAGAGGCGAAAAAGACCCAGACGGATTGTCCTAGGCTCCCTGTACCACCCGTCCATCGTGGACAATACCGCCCACGTACGTAGGGTATGTTAATTTAAACACACTATATAAGAACAGAAATGCAGCAAAAAAAAACAAACAAACCCTAAACCGCAATTACAATTGCAACTACAACAGAAGTGTTTCTGTCGTTTACCAAACCGATGGTAGGAAATACTTCAGATTCATTCACTCCAGATGCTGTTGCTAATCCAATCAGCGAATTTGTATACAATCCAGATGAAAGGATAACTTTCCAGCTTATTATAGAAGATACGAAGAGATCTTCAAAAGGGATTGTTCACATTGGAATGATGAAAATAATGTTCGTTTATTATTAAGGAAACTGTCCCCTGCTGAATATGAGAAATATATAAATTACATTTTGCCGAAAAAAACCCAGGGAAGGTACATTTGATGAAACTATTCGAATACTATCAAAATTTGTTGGTGATAGCTGTTCATTATTTAATACACGATGTCAATGTCTTAACTTAATAAAGTGTGACGATGAAGATTTTGCCACTTATGCAGGAGTTGTGAATCTAGAATGTAAAACGTTCTACTTAAATGAATTAACTCGATTAACTTGATATTCGTACAGGGTTTAACTTCTAATAAGGACGGGGAGATAAGATTCGGAATACTTGCTAAATTAGAAATGGATTCCATATTAATTCCCCAGAAAATAGCGGCAGAGTGTCAACGTATTTGAAAATCGATACCACAAGGATTGAGGAAAAAGTCAATTCACAGGTACACAGTTTCCATCCGAGACGAAAACACTCAAAAAATGTTCAACTCAGAACAGAACAGTAAAAAAGACGATAAAACTTCTTCATTGGCTAATACTTGCTACGGTTGTGGAGGTAAGTGTTAGAATTTTTGTGTACCTAAGTGCACTAGTGTGCCAGCCCAAATGAGCTGACTCATTTTATAGTTCACCAATAGAAGGATTAACCAATCAGAAAGCTCAAAATATTCAATGTGACGTGATTAAAGGCGGCCATGTTTTTTTTCCGAATATTCACTGCCAACCTTTGATATCGAAGACTGAAGAATTACGGAACAGCTGCTGGTGGTATTGGTGGCATTGGTGGTATTGGTGATATAGTCAGATTCAGTAGATATCTGACTATATCGCCAATATCTGGGGTTAAAAACGTCTGTGGATATGTTAAATACATGGAGTAAAGATAAGAAGCCTAAAAGAGAAATTAACAGGACATCTCAAAAAAGAAAATTTGTTTTGTGCAAACTAATGATGTAAAAATAAAATTGCAACTCGATGCAGGATTTGATATCACTATCATAAATGAAAAGACATGGAAAATGGGTAAACCCAGTTGATTGACTTCTGAGAAAGCATGAAGTCTCAGGAAAGGGATTGAACTTTCTGTGTGAATTCAGATGGAACTTTTCTTTCATGGAAAAAAACAAAAAAGCTGTGGTGTTTGTATTAAAGAATACTGCTAATTTTTTTGGAACAGACTGGATTGAATTGTTTGATCATTGGGATCTTCCAGTTAACTCTTTTTGCAACAAGATAAATATTGCTACCCCGATACTAATATGGCAACTGAAATATTGAAAAATGAACTGAAAAAGAGTTTTCCATAAGTTTACTAAGAAGGTCTAGGGATATGTACGAAAGCTAAAGCTAAGCTTGAATTAAGACAATGTAACACCGAGATTTAAGCCAGGAAGTAGTGTGCATTTTGCGGGCTTAGATCCAATTAATAATGAATTGGAATGACTAGAAAAATTAGGTGTGATATCAAAAATAGACTATTCCAAGTGAGCATTACCAACAGTCTACGTTTTAAAAAGGATTAATAAAATCCCCCGTATGTGCTGATTTATAAATCGGGGATAAATGAAAGTTTAAAACAACATAACTACTCGTTATCAAGTCGAGAGGAATTTTTTGTCAAATTGAATAGAGGTATTTTTTTCTAAATAGGACCTATAAGGCGTTTACCTACAATTACTGGTGGACGAAGACTTCTCAAAATTATTAACAAT